TAACTCTTTCAATACCAATACATTTAAAATTTCTGAATGAAAACTGCGGACAGGTGTTACAATGGACCAGGACTGAATGATGCACAAGACCTTTTTTCGATGTTATTTATTTCCTCTAAAATTCTCAGAATTCTCTTTGTACGGCCATTATATTGTTTGCCGCACGGACACTGCAACAAGTATAGCACAAAGTCCATGCAGCACCCAACATCAGACTTAATCTTAAAGGATTCACCTGTGGAGGAACTAACAAAATGGTCCGTCCTATCCAAATGGATAGTAAAACAAGCTTTACATGAGTTACGTCCGCTGAAAATCCAAGTATTTTGAGTGGTATTGCCTGTATTGTTCTTAATAGCATAGCTGGGTGGCAATAGATTCTTAAGGTTCCTATTTTTTCTATAGATGAGTGTGGGAAGTCCCAGTAATGAGGCTGCCAAAACAGGGTCCTACAATAAAACAGGCCAGTGTTTCAGTAGACCTTTTTTAATTCTCCAATTATCCAGATTATACTGTGTTGTAAATGCACATCGGAACATATCATTAGATGGGTTAGTGTTGGGCTTATCCCCTAATATATAATTCTACATAATGCTGCTCCCACCTATCTATCCTCCCTAATACACAAGTGTGTCCCGTCTAGGCCCTTACGATCTGCTGAAGACTTACGTCTATCTTCTGTCCGTACTCCCACCTCTGATGCTCGCCTTCAAGATTACTCCAGGGCTGCACCGTTCCTGTGGTACTCGCTTCCCTCCTCCGTTAGATGCTCACCCAGTCTCCACTCATTAAAAACCCACTTCTTCATAAAAGCGTATCAATTAAACTGTTAATAGCTCCTGACTGCTTCCTCTTCTGCAACTGTCACTAGTCTAATACTATCCTTACCTTTTTATGTAATTTTACCCCACTCCCTCTAGCATGTAAGCTCATTGAGCAGGGCCCTCAACCCCTCTGTTCCTGTGTGTCCAACTTGTCTGGTTACAACTACATGTCTGTTCGTCCACCCATTGTAAAGCGCTGCAGAATTTGACAGCGCTCTATAAATATCATAATAATAATAATAATAATAATAATAATGATATCATTTCTGTCCACTTGTGTTGTTAATCGAATTTCTTTCTCTAAGACATTTTTTATATCCCTTTTCCATAGGTTTAATTTTTTATATGTGTTGATTGTAATTTAAAGTCTTGAAGTTGTGAACAATTGCGTCTAATGCGTGTGAACTGCCCCTTTGCTATTTCCCTAAGCCAAGGTCGATGATGGCAACTCTTGTGATGAACGTATCCATCGCCATCAATTGGCTTGAAAAAACATGTTGTCCTTGTCTGATTATTCTCACAGAACAAGGTTAGATCAAGAAAATTAATTTTGTTTTTATTCCACACTAGTGTGAATTTTAAATTATCTTGATTCTGATTAAGGTAATTTACAAACTTCTGAAAGGTAGAAATAGGACTAAACTCTGAAATGTAGAGAGTAAATTAAACGTTATCTCGATTTCGTTTATAATAAAAGCCGCTGTTTACAAATCTACCATCCGGAGTCCTGTGTTGCAGTGGTGAATATAGATCAAGAAAGGGAATAACAGCCCCCCCATCGCCATCGAGGGAGGCACCTTGGAGAGGATTTTCCACTTAATTCTTTGAGTGCATCCAATTCCAGTGCACATAATTTTATTTAATTGTTATACACTATGTTTTGTGTATTTTTTTATCTTTAGATTTACCAGCTGTCTCCCATTTGTTCTGTATATATTTTGAAACATTTTATATTGTTGTATTGATTCTATTTAAAATCAACTTTTTTTTTTTTTTAAATTGTGAGTTTATACTGTATAATGTGCTTTTTTTTTAAATTATTTCATAGATTTATTAGATACTGGTACTTTTTACCACTATACTACACATATTTTCAAGTGATTTTCCTATTCTCTATATTTATCTAAATTATAAAAGTCTCAATCAAATTTTAATAAGATATGCCAATTAGTTTTGTAAGATAAATTAAGATTCCATTTATCTATACCAGCCTATACTAGTAACCAGATAAACGGTGATACGATTCCATCAAGAGACCTATTAGGTGGTTGTTATGGCGTCACAGAAACATCACAGAAATACAAATATCTAAATATCATGTTTTGCATTATGTGAAGATTAAGAGAGATCGCAATATACATTTTTAACAATTTAGTGGCAGTTTATTTTTCTAATGGGTCTCTGATGCCATGGCAACAAGTGTCACAAAAACACATCCATATTAAATGTGAATTAAATGTCAGGGTTGCTAGATAGTAAACTAACTTATTAGATTGTGTGTTTAGCTATTCTGAAACACTTCATATTGCACATTTTGCATTGTTTCTTTCTAACTGACAAGACCAAGAACATCCAATCAGGAGAATTATAAGGACTATTTATTTTATTATTATTATTATTATTATTATTATTTATATAACAGTTTTGCTTATATGTGTATTTATCCCATTTGTTTAGCACTTTAGGATATGCTTCACGGCAAAACGTATTAGTGTTAATTGTATTATTTTTGACAATCCAAATGTTACTACTTTGATAAAAGTTTACAAATTTTACTATTTAGTTAAATCGTTTTTTCTTTTGTTTTTTTTTTCCAAGAGAAGATTTACAATCGTCTGATTGGTGGAGACAAAAATACCATCTAAAGCTTTTGTTATTTCTTAGCTCAATCTCCCTTTTTTTAGTTATGTAAGGAATTTTAAAGTATGGGCTGAGTTGCTGTCTGTTGCTATATTTTCTATGTTGTATGTAATGGTCACAGGAACGTCCTTATAAAGTATGCAGGTTCAGTTCAGTGCAGTTTTTCTCTTTTGAATAGTATGCAGCATTGTTGATCAAAACCCTCTGGTGTTCATCCCTCTCTACCACAAGTGCTTCATTACAGAGTCCTATTTAAAGAGGCATTCAAGGCATCTCATTAAAGTAGTAATACTGTCTGGAGTCCCCTGATACTTTCCTTCCACTGAGTGCCAAATTGTTTTTAAATAATTTAACACTGAAAGGGGACCACAGGTGTCTGCAGCCCAGATTGCCCTGGAAACATCGCTAAGGTAACACTGAACAAACAGATGGCATTAGGATACCACAGGCACTATAACCACTTCAAAATGATGATGTGGCTTAAACCTTGCTTTACAGAGAGCCCGGCATCATTCAAACACAAATGCGTACATGCAATCTATAAATATACATCTAAAAAATTTGTTTAATATTATTAAATCCTTTTCAATAGCAGTGTTCTCCTGCTGTACTTTAAATTCATACACATTTTGCCTTTATTGAGGTACCTTTTGCTTTAAGGAAGCATTTAGAGACAATTTGCAATTCTTGCCAGAATATATTCATTATTTCAGAAAGACTTGTTCATATTTGTTTTTCTGTTTACTTCTGGTTCAAACCAATCAGAAGAAAGATTATGTGTCGGGAACTTCATGATTGGGCACTGGATCTTATCACTAGGCAGCTGGAAGAAAGAACTTTATTTTTTATTTTTTATTTTTTGTCTATTCGCATTTAGTGAACTTTGTATCCAATTTATCAAGAACAACTTCACAAGTTCTACCATCTGCTTTTAATAGAGTCTGCAGCGTATTGGGAATATATATATTTAGGAATCGTGGCGTGCTTAAAAGAAAAATGCAATGGAATATTAAAATACTCTGACATATTGTGTTTTGCTGAGCAGCACAAAGTCTTAGAGGAAAACATTAAAAAGACTGACATTTGTGGCTAACAAGCACCAGTTTATAAAAAGAAAACGCTTGTTAAGATAAGGCTCCTGACAGCATGAAAGATTTAAAAAAAACTTAAACAAGGATTTATCCATGGCCTAAGTCATTCAAAATAAATTAAAATGTGCTTTTGTTTCCATTGGTACCATTTTAACTCTGTCCTCAAGAGAATAAAAATCATATTTATTTGCGCATGCACATAGATTTTTCCTTCGTTTTTGTATTGTACCATAAATGTACAGTAGAATCACAGTAGATGATATTTCATAAAAGAAAATTATTACATCAAGATTAGTTGCTTATATTATCGTTTCATATTTTTGTTTTTCTTTTTGAGAAGCAGATTATGATATGAATCAAAACGAAACAAGCAAAAAAAGATAAACGTATAAACTAATGGGTTAGCCTCAAGGGTCTAATTGATATACTGAGCAAGGGATCTGTACATCTTAGGCCAAAGTAGTCAAACTGGAGAATTTATCTTCTCAATTCGTTAGAGATTCTGGTTTGGGGACTATAGGACCAAGGACAGAACCTTGAGGGACTCCAACCGAGACAGGACGAGGGGAGGAGGTATCATTAGAAAAGGAGCCACTGAATGAGCGTTGGGAGAGATAAGAGGAAAACCAAGAGAGGACAGAGTCACAGAGACCGAGTGATTGAAGTGTCTGAAGAAGGAGCGCATGATCAAGGGTGTCAAAGGCAGCAGAGAGGTCAAGAAGAATTAGTATGGAGTAGTGGCCTTTGGATTTATCTGCGTTTAGGTAGTTGATAAGCGCAGTCTCAGAAGAGTGGAGAGGGCGGTAGCCAGATTGAAGAGGGTCAAGGAGAGAGTTGGAATTGAGGAAATGAGACACACCGGTAAAGACAAGTCTTTCCAGAAGCTTTGAGGAAAAAGGAAGTAGGGATATAGGACAATAGTTAGAGGGAGAGGACGGGTCAAGAGATGTTTTTTTCAGGATAGGTACTACAGAAGCATATTTAAGGTCAGCAGAGACAACGCCAGAAGAGAGAGAGCAGTTGAAGATGTGCGTTAAGGAAGGCACGAGACAAGTGGAGAGAGATCTGATAAGGTGAGATGGTGTTAGGAATACAGCTTTGTACAGCTTCCTTTAAAGTGTGTGTCACACAGGTCAACCAGTAATTCAAATTAAATATTAATTCAGTTACTATTTAAAGCAGCTTTAAGTTTTTGAGTGTGAAAAAAATATTTGCAATGTTTTAGAAACACTACACAACCAAACAAGCAAGATCTCCAAAAACAAACGCCACAAGTAGCCTACTCTCCCAAATACACCACATCAAGAAGCCACCTCCACACACACAACCCCACTAGCAGCCACCCCACAAACATACACCACCAACAACATCTATACAAACATACAACACCACCAACAACATCTATACAAACATACAACACCACCAGCAACATCCCCGCAAACATACAAAACCACCAGCAGCATCCCCGCAAACAAACAACACCACCAGCAACATTCCCACAAACATACAACACCACTAGCAACATCCTCACAAACATTCAACACCACCAGCAACATCCCCACAAACATACAGCACCACCAGCAACATCCCTGCAAACATACAAAACCACCAGCAACATCCCCACAAACATACAGCACCACCAGCGACATCCCCACAAACATACAGCACCACCAGCAACATCCCCACAAACATACAGCACCACCAGCAACATCCTCACAAACATACAACACCACCAGCAACATCCCCACAAACATACAGCACCACCAGCAACATCTCTGCAAACATACAACACCAGCAACATCCCCGCAAACATACAACACCACCAGCGACATCCCCACAAACTTACAACACCACCAGCAACATCCTCACAAACATACAACACCACCAGCGACATCCTCACAAACTTACAACACCACCAGCAACATCCCCACAAACATACAACACCACCAGAAACATCCTCACAAACTTACAACACCACCAGCAACATCCCCACAAACATACAGCACCACCAGCAACATCCCTGCAAACATACAACACCACCAGCGACATCCCCACAAACTTACAACACCACCAGCAACATCCTCACAAACATGCAACACCACCAGCGACATCCTCACAAACTTACAACACCACCAGCAACATCCCCACAAACATACAACACCACCAGCAACATCCTCACAAATTTACACCACCAGCGACATCTCCACAAACATACAACACCACCAGCAACATCCTCACAAACATACAACACCACCAGCGACATCCCAACAAACTTACAACACCACCAGCGACATCCCCACAAACATACAACACCACCAGCGACATCCCCACAAACATACAACACCACCAGCGACATCCCCACAAACTTACAACACCACCAGCAACATCCTCACAAACATGCAACACCACCAGCGACATCCCCACAAACTTACAACACCACCAGCGACATCCCCACAAACATACAACACCACCAGCGACATCCCCACAAACATACAACACCACCAGCGACATCCCCACAAACTTACAACACCACCAGCAACATCCTCACAAACATGCAACACCACCAGCGACATCTCCACAAACATACAACACCACCAGCAACATCCTCACAAACATACAACACCACCAGCGACATCCCCACAAACATACAACACCACCAGCGACATCCCCACAAACTTACAACACCACCAGTGACATCTCCAAAAACATACAACACCACCAGTGACATCCCCACAAACATACAACACCACCGACATCCCCACAAACATACAACACCACCAGCGACATCCCCACAAACTTACAACACCACCAGTGACATCTCCAAAAACATACAACACCGCCAGTGACATCCCCACAAACATACAACACCACCGACATCCCCACAAACATATAACACCACCAGTGAAATCCCCACAAACATACACCACCAGCGAAATCCCCACAAACTTACAACACCACCAGTGAAATTCCCACAAACATACACCACCAGCTAAATCCCCACAAACATACATCACCACCAGTGACATCTCCAAAAACATACAACACCACCAGTGACATCCCCACAAACATACAACACCACCGACATCCCCACAAACATACAACACCACCAGCGACATCCCCACAAACGTACAACACCACCAGTGACATCTCCAAAAACATACACCATCAGTGACATCCCCACAAACATACAACACCACCAGTGAAATCCCCACAAACATACACCACCAGCGACATCCCCACAAACATACACCACCAGCAACATCCCTGCAAACATACAACACCACCAGCAACATCCCCACAAACATACAACACCACCAGCGACATCCCCACAAACTTACAACACCACCAGCAACATCCCCACAAACATACAACACCACCAGAAACATCCCAACAAACATACACCACCAGCAACATTCACACAAACATGCAACACCACCAGCAACATTCCCAAAAACATACACCACCAGCAACATTCCCACAAACATACATCACCACCAGCAACATCCCTGCAAACATACAACACCACAAGCAGCATCCCCACAAACAAACAACACCACCAGCAACATTCTCACAAACATACACCACCAGCAACATTCCCACAAACATACATCACCACCAGCAACATCCCTGCAAACATACAACACCACAAGCAGCATCCCCACAAACATACAGCTCCACCAGCGACATCCCCACAAACATTCAGCACCACCAGTAACATCCCCACAAACATGCAACACCACCAGCAACATCCCCACAAACATACAACACCACAAGCAGCATCCCCACAAACGATGCAAGCAGCCTCCACACACTTATACACACCCTCTCCAAGCATCCAGCCACACATCTAGTTACATTCACCATTCAGTCATACCCCAAATTAGTTGCATTAATTCATTCTTCTGTGTGATTGGACCAGACAGGCTCGCCTTCCCTCACTACATGCATCAATGAACCTTGGGCACCCTTGTCCCTGACGCCGGTTCACCTTTTGTCTTTCATTGCACCCCTTTTGTTAGGTAACCACTGCATACCGGGAACACCCAACAAGACTTGCCATTTAGAAGAAGCTCTGACCCAGACGTCTAGCCATCACTATTTGGCCCTTGTCAAAGTCACTCAGATCTATTCACTTGCCCATTTTTCCGTCTTCCAACAAAATAGAACTGACTGCTCACTTGCTGCCTAATATATCCCACCTCTTGACAGGTGTCATTGTAACAATATAATCAATGGTATTAACTTCACCTGTCAATGGTTTAAATGTTGTGGCTTATCAGTGTAGATAAATGAGATAGATTATTAGATAGATAGATAGATAGATAGATAGATAGATAGATAGATAGATAGATAGATAGATAGATAGATAGATAGATAGGTCTTAAAGCACTGGTATATACTCCGGATTCAGAACGCATGCTACATTTCCTAATCATTCACCACAGAGTGTTTTCATTTATCAATGAATTATATTCTAACAATTCGATGTTTATGTGCAAACCGTTGATTAATTTGTTACAGTACATTGAAAAATCAATCATTACTTACTTGATACAAATGCTTCTATCTCTATAATATTGTTGCAGATTGAAGACGTTAGGGAGTTTTTACAGGATCATTTTCTTGAATAATGTATGTATCCTATTGCACCCAGAGTATCCCGACTCCCATTCAGGGTGCATTATTTGTCTTGCAAGGGGTGAATAATGAGACTACAGGCTTTGTCAATTCCTGTTGCTTTAGTCTTCATGTCAAAGGTCATGGACCCAGGAAAAAGGAAAGTCTAAGGAGAATGGCTACGAATTCAACCCAAAGAAAAACAGAGAAATGTGCTAAAGAAACTTTAGCCTCCCTTGTTAACCATTCATTACTAAGAAAGACCTTCCCTATTTCTCATGGTAATTACAAATTAGGGCCAAAAGACAAACTAATTGGAATGCCGGAGAAAGGTTCAATAAACCTATTCTATTGCAGGCAGCAGTATGGGGTGGGAGGAAGAATGGGCCAATATGAATGACTCAGGCCGTTGCTCTGGATACAATGAAAATGTCTAACCAACGTCGTTCAGATACTAAACCGTTCATTAGTAATTCCTATGTAAATTTGCTATAATTTTACAAATTTGTCAAACAGAACTTACTTTTATTATAATAACCCAACTTAACTTATGACTGTAAGAAAATGTTATATGGTATAGTCGAAATGTAAAATTATTTATACATTTTATTTTATTTATTTGCTTTAGAAAGTGTATTACGAAGAAGAATAGATTGAGGTATCTCTCAAATCCTCATGTCCTGGATACCACATACTATACAGTGTAGTTACAAGGTTATATAGATAAGATGTATTCAAAAGTGTATTCCAAAGATGTTCGACTTGCTTTCTTTTGATATCGTTGAAGAATATTTGAATAAAAGCTGTAGGTTGTGGAGGAAGATGGAGTGTGTTTACTGATTGAGTGCGCGCTGCACAATAACACACCGGTCCTTAAAAAACGATCGGTGCAATACAGCCCCAATAGCTATATTGCACCGATTGCTTTTTACAGACTGGTGTGTTATTGTGCAGCCCGCACGGCGTCCACAGGTTACCATGGCAGCGCGACAATGTTTACTTGGGTTGCTGAGGAGATGCGTGCAACGACACGCCGCAGTCTGTATTGGCTGTCTATGCACATGCGCTTTGTAAAAAGTAGGACGCCAATCGGGTGGTAACAACAGCTGCGGTGAGTTTATAATTTATTTCACTTATAGTATATAAGTTTGTTCAGTTTGCACTTGTCTTATGTATGTAATTTTTGATCCTGAAGAAAGCCCAGAGTGGGGCTGAAACGTCGATCTCTCTCTTTTAATGTATATCTAATAAAGCAATTTTGATTTTAAACGAAGACCGAGGAGTGAAGTCATCATTTTATATATAAAATGTGCTCCCCCCTTGTCTACCCCACATTTGATTGGACCAGAGAGGGGAAAGGAGGGACTTGAAAGTGGCTCACATGGTGCAGGATTCTTTTTTTTTTTTAAGAAAAGCGTAGGGGGCAAGATACTAGAGCCCGATAAAATATTGCAAAATAAAATAAACTTATTTTAAAAAGGGTTGGAGTAACCCTTTCAGTACAGACAGGAGCTGCATAGGTTTATTCTTTGTTATATTAATAATTTATACATTTGTTGCATTATTATATTTAATAGCTTTAACACTATGTTCATATGAGAATAATGCATTGGATTTTCATGTTGTATCATCAGAGTTAGATTATCCATTAGGCAGCATAGACAGCTGCCTAGGGCACGTGGAAATCCATAAACTGGTTAATGGATTGCAGGATAAAACTTACAAGGAAAGGTTAAAGGATCTTAACATGTATAGCTTGGAGGAAAGACGAGACAGGGGGGATATGATAGAAACATTTAAATATATAAAGGGAATCAACACAGTAAAGGAGGAGACTATATTTAAAAGAAGAAAAACTACCACAACAAGAGGACATAGTCTTAAATTAGAGGGACAAAGGTTTAAAAATAATATCAGGTACTACTTTACTGAGAGGGTAGTGAATGCATGGAATAGCCTTCCAGCTGAAGTGGTAGAGCTTAACACAGTGAAGGAGTTTAAGCATGCGTGGGATAGGCATAAGGCTATCCTAACTATAAGATAAGGCTAGGGACTAATGAAAGTATTTAGAAAATTGGGCAGACTAGATGGGCCGATTGGTTCTTATCTGCCGTCACATTCTATGTTCCTATATTTCTATGCTCAGACAAGGGCCCAGATTTCCCCCATGTGGACCTTGAACTAATGCTCTGTTTAGGAAGGGGCTCTCCCTGAGCCAGCAGTGAGATCATAAGATCTCCCCACTAGGCTCTATAGTAAATTGTAATATGAATTTTGTTTTAGACTAACTTATTTTCGATGTTCTAATAATGTACACAATCTATATGATATACACCAGACACTTTGATATTATTTGCAAGAATCTGGGTACAGCTTAACATGTGAATTGTATAAAATGTTGTAGAAATTCATTTAGGAAAAACTTTTAATTAATGCAGATTTAGTTAAATAATTGTCTCACTCGTCACCACAAATATGGGTGTTTAAAGTAAATCTACACCTTGCAAACAGAGTAATACTTTAAATATAACCCCATCAACTCTAGATTTAGTATAATAATAGTTAATTGTGGATTGGATGCTAATAGAAAAACAATTTATATTGATTACGATTTTTGTAGAATTATTACTTCTCTAATTTTAGTTGAGCTGTTTTAGAGCACCTTAGGAACATAATTTTCATATTTTTTCACCAAAAACACAAATCATTAAAGCACTGTGTAAACATATATTTTAGGAGAGCGCTTGTTTTAATGTTAACCTCTAAAATCCCATCACAAATTAAAAATGTGAAAAAAATAAATACATTTTAAGTTGCATTGCATGCTGTAAATCTAAAATGTTTCAGCTTCTGCCAGTCATGATTCCCGATTTCAATACTACTGCCCAGCCTATCTCATGAACAGTATTTTGGGTTATAACAAGGGTTTTATAAATCCAGTTCTAAGCTTTGTAGCAGCTGAATTAAAACTTCCATAAACCCAAGTAATGTCACCTTGTCTAACATGTATAGCAGCATTTTTGGAGAAAGGAAATGCTATATATTGGGAAGAAAGGACAGAAAGGTTGGGCTTATAGAGCAAAGTAATTGAAATTTTAAAGAAAACTAACATTTTATACAAATAAAGAAGAAACAATTAAAGGACCACTCTAGGCACCCAGACCACTTCAGCTTAATGAGGTGGTCTGGGTGCCTGGTCCAGCTAGGGTTAACCAATTTTTTCATAAACATAGCAGTTTCAGAGAAACTGCTATGTTTATAAATGGGTTAAGCCTTTCCCCAAAGCCTCTAGCGGCTGTCTCACTGACAGCCGCTAGAGGCGCTTGCGTGCTTCTCACTGTGATTTTCACAGTGAGAGCACGCCAGCGTCCATAGGAAAGCATTATGAATGCTTTCCTATGTGATCGGCTGTATGCGCGCGCAGCTCTTGCTGCGCGTGTGCATTCAGCCGACGGGGAGGAGAAGAGGAGGATCGGAGGAGGAGAACTCCCCGCCCAGTGCTGGAAAAAGGTAAGATTTAACCTCTTTCCCCCTTCCAGAGCCGAGTATGTTTTCCTGGCACTATAGTGGTCCTTTAAAATAACTAGCTGTAACCTAAGCTACACATTGCACCTAACATACATGGGTGCCAATTTGTCCTTCTGGCTAATTTTGGCACTGTACATGTCTGTGACTTAAAGTTAAACTGTCTGGGAATTATGACAAATCTAGTTCATAGAATTCTGCAGTGCTAAGGGTCGTCATCACTGGTGCCAAAATAGAAATGAAAATCATTCAAATCATTCAAAGTCACCTGAAATCACCGGGGACAAGACATTTGGAAATTTGGCCACATCAGACAGCCCTTCGTCAACAGATCCACCACTGGAGCAAAGTACCTCACTATTGATGGGTAATAACCATATTTTTATTGTATATGAGAGATTCACAACACTCACTATAGGCACATCGGGGTGTAGGATGGGTGCTTAAAGGGACACTAGTGTCACCAAAACTATTTTAGGTTAATGAAGCAGTTTTGGTGTATAGAGCATGCCTCTGCAGCCTCACTGCTCCATTCGCTGCCATTTAGGAGCTAAATCACTTTTGTTTCTGTTT